AAAGGAATGGAGCCCACTGTCCTGGAGTGCTGAAATGGGCAGCAAGAAAGATAAATTCATTTTAGCTGTTTTTTTTTTTTTTCCAAAGGTATCTTCCAGCCCCTCCTCCAACATCGACCCAGGCAACTATGGTGAAGTGCATGATCTGATCACCCAGATACCCTCTCAAGTGCAGATACAAGATATTACTAAGGAGCTACACTGCCCACTGTGTAATGATTGGTTCCGTGATCCATTGATGCTAAGCTGTGGCCACAACTTCTGCCAGGCTTGTATCCAAAACTTTTGGAAGCAGCAAGCAAAGGAAACATTCTGTCCTGAGTGTAAGATGCTATGTCAATATAGCAACTGTACATTCAACCTTGTGCTAGAGAAGCTGGTAGAGAAGATTAAGAAGCTACCCTTACTCAAGGGCCATCCACAGTGCCCAGAGCATGGAGAGAACCTGAAACTATTCAGTAAGCCAGATGGGAAACTGATCTGCTTTCAATGCAAAGATGCTCGGTTGTCTGTGGGGCAGTCTAAAGATTTCCTGCAGATCTCTGATGCTGTCACTTTCTTCATGGTGGGTGAGCCCTGGGCCTTGAATAATGCCTTAGGAGAGCTGGGAAAAATCTTTTGTAGGGTTTCTTCTTTTTTCAGCCCCACCCCTCTATTCAGATGATTATTAGTAAGCTTAGAAAATACAACATATCTTGCAACGTTCTTTCTCTAGAGTTGCTGATGATAGGAAAGAACAGTGGAGTAGCTCTAAGCCTACTCCCCCCTCCCCCAATCAAATATTTACTTACACTCTGCAATGACAGCACTCTACTAGACACTGGGTAGAATGTGGATGTACAAGATATTGCTCTTGTTATAAAAGTCTTGAAATTTAGGCAAGTTCAAAATGAATAAAACAACAGAAGCAAGACATTCTACTATTGAGAGCTAAATTTCATCACATTTGTAATATTCATAAATGTTTAGAATTTCAGAGAAGATTAGAGAAAACTGAAATAGGGGATGTGTGGTGAAGGAAAGCTTGAATTGGGAAATCATTTGCATTTTAATGGGCAGAAATGGGAAATGAGTGCTCTAAGTGATAATAATGTAAGTAAAAGTAGAGACAGTGAGAACAGTATAACTTCTAGAGTAGAAGATGTAGAGTTCTATTACCTTCTTCAACCCCCTACAGTAAGCTAATAAGAGCATAAAACTGAATTTTTCTGCTGCTTGTTATATTCTTCACAATTCTTAGAAGAGACAGGAATTGTAGTTCAGGGTAAAGGAAAGATTTTTGCAGCAAGAGCTTGCTTTTTTTTTTTTTTTCTTCTCACACTCTGGGGCTTTAGGAGAGATGTCCCTATGGTCCTTCATCTCCCAAGTTAGTGTGGATTAAGTCTGTGTGGTATTCCCAGGAGGAGCTCACCATCCACCAGGGTCAACTGGAGACAACACTGAAGGAACTTCAGTCTCTGAAGAATATGCAGAAAGATGCAATTGCTGCTTACAAGGTGAGAAGCAGGGTAGAGGGGCTATGAGATAGACCTGGAACACTTTCCTTGTAACTTCAGCCATGTGAGTGTAAAGGATACACTAAATGGCACCTGGGCTATAGCATTGGAAAATGGATACTGTAGGATGGAAGGAAATACAGCAGTGAAGTAAGTTCTCAATGGTTCTTCAACAGAGAGAGCACACTGAACTTTCCCATTATATGCTGATCCTTCTTACGTCCCCATCCTTAGGTGATTGTTCTGGGTTTGTGATCTGTCTGGTCTTCCCTTTATATATGGCAAAATAAGGAATTTATCAGAAAAATGCACTAAGGATTACTATGTCCAAAGAAATACCTTTCTTTTGAGTTTACAATCAGGCTACCTCTGATTGAAGGTCTCTTGGATTGCTGGTTTTTATCATCTGATTTGATCTTTCCTAGCTCCCCTCAAACTAAATAAATAAACTATTGCTGTTTTATATATACAGGGGATCTAGGACAATTAATAGTTAGAAACTTGGCAAAGCAGTCCCTGGGTTAGGGGGCTAAACTGGGAGTTCTGTTTCTTCATTAATTATTCTATGGAGGAGGGTATTCTCTGGCATTTGGCATTGTACAGAAATATGCACAATGAGAGAAAGAAGAAGGATAGATGGAAATAATGTCTCCAGAGAATGTTGTTTCTGTTGTAAGAGTTCCTAGTTCAGCTATTACAGTCAACATTCATTCATTACAAAAAAAATTATTGAGTGGGTAAGGCATTATACTAGATACTATATTACACTAGGGCGGGAAACGGATTAATGGGATTGAGTGATCCCATCAATAGCAATAAAATGACAACTGTGATAATTACTATGAATGAAGGTAAAGCGTGCTACAAGAGCATATACATGAAGAACTAATTTAGGCTAGGGAAAGGGTATTCTCTGAAGAAATCACCTATTAAAAACTGAGAACCAGGGGCACCTGGGTGGCTCAGTCAGTTAAGTGTCCGACTTCAGCTCAGGTCATGAGCTCACTATTTGTGAGTTTGAGCCCCACATTGGGCTCTGTGCTGACAGCTCAGAGCCTGGAGCCTCCTTCAGATTCTGTGTCTCCCCCTCTCTCTGCCCCTCCCATGCTCATGCTCTGTCTTTCTCTGTCTCTCAATAATAAATGAACATTACAAAAATTTTTTTAATTGAGAACTGAAGGATAAGTAACTTAGCCAAGGGAACTGATTGAGAGGAATATGAAGGAAGTGGCCTGGAGAAGAATGTTCTATGAAGAGCAAAGAACATATGGAAAAGTCCTGATAGGAAACTAGTTGCTATATTAAATAGAGAGAAGCTAATAAAATTAGATCATGGTAAGCAAAATGAGATTGAAGAGGTGGATATGGGCCCAATTATGTGGGCCCTGGGAGATAAATTAGGAATTTTGAACTTCATCCTATGAATAATGAGAAGGCATTAAAGGGTTTAGATAGGACATGATTTCATCTTATTTTGAAAATATCAATCCAGTGGCTGTGAGAAGAGAGACAATGACAGGATAATGGTTAGAAGGCTACTGCAGTAATCCCAGAGAATAGTGAGAGTGGCTTGGACAAGAGAAGCAGTGGAGATAGAAATAAACAGCTTTGGCATATACTTTGGAGATTGAAAAAAAAAAAAAACCTGGATGTAGTGACTGATTAGATGTGAGGGGTGAGTGGAAATGTCAAATAGGTAGTTGGATACAGGAATCTAGACCTTGGAAGTTGGTCTAGGATGGAAATAAGTCAGCATACAGACTGATTTAAATCTGTGTGAGAAGAGGAGATTACCTAGAAAGAGAATGTAGAATGAGAAGGGGAAAGAGCCCAGGAAAAAAAATCAAATAACTCTAATATTCAGAGCGTGGTTAGAGGATACAAAACCAACAAATAAGACTGAGAATAGTAGTGAAATAGGCAAAAGGAAGACTGGAGATGTGTGAGCTAGAGGACAGAGTGAATTTTAAGTGTGCCATTATAATGATGGACCATAGAATCCAACCTGGACAAAAGGGGACATGGAGACAGAGAAGATGAACAGAAATGGAGGGGGTCAATGAATAAGAGGTTTCAATGATACCCAATAATTGTTTCTATAGAGGTATCTGACTAAGTGAGCATAATAAGTTAATTTTGGGGTTCCTGGGTATCTCAGTTGGTTAAGCGTCGACTCTTGATTTTGGCTCAGGTCATGACCTCATGGTTTGTGAGCTGAAGCCCCACATTAGGCTTTGTGCTGCCAGCATGTGGAGCCTGCTTGGAATTCTCTCTCTCCTCTCTCTCTGTCCCTTCCCCTGCTCGTGATCGTGCACGCGCTTTCTCTCTCAAAATAAATAAATAAACTTAAAAAAAATTTTTTTTAAAGAGTTAATTTTGGAGGTAGTGAAATGGCTGGGGATGATAAAGTCCCGTGTGATTAAAAGAATGAGTAGATACAGGGGAGATCACTAGAAATGATGAGGATAGGATCTGAGAAGCCTGGATGTCAGATGGTTCACTGCTCAGGATGTTGCAGTTACCTGAGAAAAAGGGTGTTAAGTGTAGCAGTTATCAATTTCAGTGCTTCAGACAATGTCCATCTCCTGCTTCTTCTATGTTGTCTTGGTAGCAGAAGTGGCATCCACCCTCCCCTGAGCTCTGATTTCTAGATAAGAATAGTTCTTTCAGCCTCGTTATGGCCCCAGTCTGACAGCATCACTTGGTAGACACTGGTTTGTACTTCTGGGTAGGAAAGTACTATCATTCATTGCAGGATGTTTAACTAATTAATTAACCCCGCAGCCTTATATGGCATTGGTTACCACCTCAGTACTGTAATAGGAACCTAAAGACCACTTTTGATGATTTCCTTCCTAAACTATTAAACTGACAGAAAAACAAAGTAAATCTCCCAAAGGATTCCTATTAGTATGGTTAAGTGATGATACTCAAGAGTCATTTTTATGCATTTTCCTGTTATGGTATTTCCCGCATTGTGTGAGTATTGATGGTGTGAGCCCCCATCCCCAAGAGCTAGTCTCAGTAATTACCATGGTGATGATCATGGAGGTTTCCAGGAAAACAAGCTACATCTGCAGCAACACATCTCCTTGGAGTTTCTAAAGCTACATCAGTTCCTGCACAGCAAAGAAAAGAACATTTTAAATGAGCTCCGAGAAGAGGGGAAAGCCTTGAACGAGGATATGGAGCTGAATCTGAACCAGCTTCAGGAACAGTGTCTCCTAGCCAAGGAGATGTTGGTGAGCATCCAGGCACGGATGGAACAGCAGGATCCCTTCAACTTCCTCAAAGTAAGACTCCATATTAACATAATTATGGGTACACCAGTTAGGGGAAAGAGGGCTGGAAAAGACATAGAAGCAGCTTTTCCCCACCAGGAGGGGAAAAAAAAGAACTGCTGTAGTGCTTTTAAGATTTTCTGGGAGAAATGCAGAAGGCTACTTTTGCCTTACACTCAGTATAAAGCTTTGCCTTCACCCTCCTAAAAAAAGATAATAAATGCCCTTAGTAATGGTATCTATTAATATTTTAATGTTTCTTCATAAAGAATTTTGAAGATTTGTTTCTCAAAAATAAGAATGTTGAAACTTAGATTGGCTTTCAATTGACCTGTTTGAAAGGTGTTTGCCAATATTTACTATCTGAAGCTTCACCTCCGAAGTGTCATTGATTATCACCTTAGCACTCAGAAGTTTACTTAGCCAGAGTAAGAGAAAGTGGCTTTGGGTCTGGAAAACCTACACTATTTTTCTCCTGAGACCATTTGGCAGTATAGGTAGAAATAGCCTAGCTATTAATTTCTCCCCTTGTTTCATGTAAAAGGCAACACTAGAAAATCAGAATAAGATAAGGCCAGTTTATCCTGGGTTAGATGAAGGATACCGATCAGAAAAGATATATGGAGGTTGGGATGAATTGGAATGGCAACATCTGCACAGAATCTCAGTATTGATGATAAAATTCTGGTGGTGGCCAGTACCACCAAAGAAATTTCTGGAGTTGATGAGCAGGCATCTAATTTCTTTATTGCTCCTTTTCTCTTCTAGGATATCACATCTCTCTTGGATAGGTAAGTGTTTCTATATGGTATTAATATCCTTCCTCCAGTTCCTGGAGGATGTCTAAGAATAAGTGATTTATGTCCCCTGCAGCTTGGAACAAGGAACAAAGGTGCTGATACCCAGAGAGCTTATCTCCAGAAAGTTGAACCCAGGCCTGTACAAAGGTCCCATCCAGTACATGATGTGGAGGGAAATGCAATCCTCTCTCTCTCCAGGTATCAGAGGGTCATAGCTATTGGTTCCTGGGTCTCCTAATCTCTGTTTCTTCTGTGGGAACTCTTCTGTGGCCCTAATTAGTACAGTAAAACCTTGGATTGCAAGTAACTTGTTCAGTGAGTATTCTGCAAGACAAGCAAACATTTCTAATAAATTTTAACTTGATAAACAAGTGATGTCTTGCAATATGAGTAGTACGTGACACCAAATGTCACATGATCATAACTAAACCAATGGTTTCTCTCTCTCTCCTGTGTCTCTCTCTCTGTGGGATTGTGAGCAATTGTCAGTGCAATGCCACATTTCCATGAAATCCTCAAAAGGAGGCAAAAGCAAGTGTTATTGGATAGGTTCCTTGTTAAAGTTGCACGAAAAGAAAGACTCCGTTGAGCCAATAGATAGCAGTGATTCTGTTAGTGATAGTGAAAGTTGTCCTACACAATAACCCTTCCCTTGTTTCCCTCACACCAGCCATGAAGGTTTTCAAAGGTAAATGCGGGTTAATTTGTTTATTTGTCTTTATGTTTTGTATTTTTTAAGTTTATTTTTCAGAGAGACAGAGACAGTGTGAGTGGGGGAGGGATAGAGAGAGAGGGGGAGAAAGAATCCCAAGCAGGCTCTGCACTGCAAAACAGACACCAAAGGGAGAGAGAGAGAGAGAAAATTCCAAGCAGGCTCCTCCCTGTCAGCACAGAGCCCAATGTGGGGCCCCAACCCACAAACCATGAGATGATGACCTGATCTGAAGTCAGATGCTTAACTGACTGAGCCACCCAGGCGTCTCCCCACTGGTGTATTTTTAAATTTCAGTTATTGAGTTCTTCATCTCTGATTTTTTATATTTTCTATGTCTTTGTTGAAAGTCTCACCGAGATTCTCCACTCTTAAGTCCAATGAGTATCTTATGACCATTACTTTGAATTCTTTGCCAGGCATATTGTTTATTTCCATTTAATTTAGCTCTTTTGTGGTGATTTTGTCCTGTTCTTTCTTCTTCTTCTTTTTTTCTTTTTAAGTTTTATTTATTTAAGTAATCTCCACACCCAACACAGAGCTTGAGCTCATGACTCCAAGATGAAGAACTGTACATTCTTCTGAATGAGCCAGCCAGGCACCCCTGTCCTATTCTTTCATTTAGGACACATTCCTCTGTCTCCTCATTTTGTCTAACTTTCTGTGTTTGTTTCTATGTATTAGTAAAGTCAGTTATGTCTCCTGATCTTGAAAGTAGAGGTCTTCTTCTTAGAAGTCCTGTGGTGGCCTGTAGCACAATATCCCCTGTTTACCAGAAGCAGGAGCTTCAGGGGTGTCTCCTATGGGGGTGCACCCCATTATTGTGGCTGAGCCTCATTTGCTTTCAGTTCAGTTGTCTTCATAGGCCCACTTTGCCCATTGTGGGCTGGGTTTGGCCCCTGTGATGTTAAGAGGCCAGTCTGGGGCCATCATGGGCTTGTAGTTGGGCAGTGTCAGCAGTCAGATCAGATGCCTGCCTTCAGCCTGTTTGCCAGGGCTGTGGTTGCACTGAATTTTAGGGTGCTCTCCCTGCCTTGTCCCCTGAGAGGCTTTTGTTGGTGGGTGGGGCCTGCAGTCAGGCTAGATGTCTTCTGGGGCTACAGACACACTGATTGACAGGGCATTCTCTGCACTGCCAGTTACAAGGTTTGGCTGCTGGGACTGTAAGTTTACTGGTGTGTGTTGTTATCTTCCAATAAGGGCAATTTTAAATGAGTGGAATTTGGAGCGGGGGTGCCTGGGTGGCTCAGTCAGTTAAGCCTCTGACTCTTGACTTTGGCTTAGGTCATGATCTCATGGTTCATGAATTTGAGCCCTGAATTGGGCTCTGCACTGACAGCGGGGAGCCTGCTTGGGATTCTCTGTCTCCTCTTTCTCTGCCCCTCCCCAACTTATGCACGTGCTCTCTCTCTCAAAAAGAAATAAACAAAACAAAACAAAACAAAAAATGGAAGAAGGAAAAAGAAATAACCTGAAACTTAAAAAAATAAGTAAATAAAGGGGTGGAATGGGTAGAAGTTATACTGTGAAGGGTTCAGGAGGGATTTGGAATGAGGCAGTAGTGAAGGGAATAGATCACTCACTTGCGAAGGTTCACTAAGAAGGGAGGATGTGAACATGGCAGCAGAGTTAAAAGAGGACTTAAAAAAAATTATTTTAAGTAATCTCTACACCCAACGTGAGGCTTGAACCCATGACCCTGAGATCAAGAGTTGCATGCTCTTCTGACTGAATCAGCCAGGCACCCCAAAAGAGGACATTTATAAAAAAAATTTTTAAATGTTTATTTATTTTTGAGAGACACAGTAACAGAGTGAGAGCAGGGGAGGGGCAGAGAGAGAGGGAGACACAGAATCTAAAGCAGGCTCCAGGCACTGGGCTATCAGCACAGAGCCCAACATGGGGCTTGAACCCACCAACTGTGAGATCATGACCTGAGCCAAAGCTGGCCGCTTAACTGACTGAGCCACCCAGGCGCCCCAAAAGAGGGCTTTCTAAAACAGACTGAGGGAAAACAGCCTAAAGAAAGGCAGAAACCAATGGTATAAGACTGTGGATAACTGGTGGTAGTAGGGAAGAGTGAGTGAGATCTAGAAAGAGAAGTACTGACTTTCCTCAGTTTCCTCTGAAAATGGAGAGGAGATAAAATAGTAAAGGCAAACAATTTTCATCAGATGGAACTTGCAGTAGACATGGGACGAAATGAGGGATCCCTGTAAGATGTACTATAATTTCTCTATGAAGCAGGAGAAGAAGTCATCTGCTGGCAGTGAGGAAGGAACAGATGTTTGAGGAGAGAGCCAAAAGTCTGAAATTGCTATGAGAAACTGGAGAGAGTTTGATTTAGGAAATACAGTAGGGGTGATGGTCGAGCACAGAGTGGAAATAATGAATCTGTAATAATATCTACACATGTACAATTTTGTGATTTTCCTCCAGCAGTGGTCAGGAATTGGCATTTGAATTTTGACAGCTGGATAGATCCAGAGTTGGAGAGTTACATGACAAATGCTGCAGATACAAGATTAAAAATGATAAGGTTATTGGCAATAAAGCTGCCAATACTAAGCAGTTTAGGGAAGGATTTTAAGCCAGAAGGCAGACAGATCAGGATAGTAAGGAGAAATGAGGCACTAGAGTTGTTAATGAAGTCAAGTAATGGTTGTAGGGGGAGATGAGAGTGAGAAAATAAAATATAAGAGAACGGGATATCTGAGTTTAAGATTTTAGAGAATGGAGTCAGAAATCACTAGCAGTAAAGCCAAGGACGTACAAGAAAGGAAAAATGGCTATATCGAAAGGATAGTGAAATCCCTTGAGATGATGAGCTGGAGTTGGGATAGTGGTGTACAGTTAATCCAAAGCGCAGAGAATATAATCAGGAAGTCTGTACATAACAACATCAAATAGAGATAGAGAGTAATATGAGATGTAATGACAAGAACCTCAAAAGAAGAGTGATTTTTACATGAGGATAAGGATTAGAGTAAGGGTCTAGAAGTGGGGGTGGTGGCTCCTGGATCTCTGGCTCTGAATTTAGAAAACTAATAGTTTCATGGACTTTTCAAGTTGTATTTTTTGAAGAAGAAATAGGTTTCTGTTAAAGTAAGGAGGTGATAAGAGAATTCTGTAGAGTGGGGATACTGGAGAGTTACTTAGGGAGGGAGTTCTGAAGGGCAGAGTGGAAAGAGTTTGGTAGGAGCAATGGGAGGATGGGTGAAGGTACAGGAAGCAAAGAACAGAATAGTGGGGATAAGAGTACATGGAGGGTAAATCATTGGATGGGTCTACGTTATGGGTTTTGGCCAAGGATAACAGGAATATGAAACATGGTGGAATTAGTTAATGTCAAGGATTCAAATGGAACTTTGAAGTTTGTTTATTTATTTAACAAATAGTTACTTGAATACCCAGGAACAGTTCCCAATTTTGAAGGTATGTAAGGAAATAAGACAGATGAAGTCCCATCCTGTCAGAGATTACAGTCTAATGGAGGAAATGGACAATGGTAACAGTAAGTAATGTCACACAGTGATAACCATTGTCAAGAAAGTCAAGTAAGGTACATTCAGTAAGTATTTACGAGCAAAAAGAAAGATAGGGTACAGACAGTGATGAATAGATGAACATGCTATTTTAGACAGAAGGGCCAGAAAAAAACCTCTTTGAAGAGGTAACTCCCCCTCCCTATGTTTCACTGTGGATATTTCCAAACATACAGAAAAGCTTAAAGAATTTTATAGTGAACGTCACTATACCTACCTAGATTCTATCACTAACATCTTACTGAACTTGCATTAACAAAGGCTGGAATAAGGTGAAGGAGTGAACCACATGGGGAAAGAGTGTTTTAGGACAAGGAAAGAAAGTGTAAAGGCCCTAAAATCTGAATGAGTTTGATACATTCAAGGAACAGCCAAAAGCAAAAGTGATTGGATCAAAGTAAATAAGGGAGATGTGTATTAGGAGATGAGGTCACAGAGGTAGGTAAATCATGTAGGTCCTGTTTGCTCTGTAAGGACTCTGGATTTTATCTTGGGAGTGATGGAAAGTGTAAGAGTTGAGTAGGAGAACTGGATGATCTCATTCATATTATGGCAGAATAGGTTGCGGATGGGCAAGAGTGGAGACAGGACAGTTAAAAAGCTATTGCAAATAGTTCCAGGCCAGCAGTATTTAAGAAATCATCTGTCTCTATATTATGAGTAGGTTCAGATTACATTTTAAAGGTGGAGCTGACACAGAATTTACTGTTGGGTTGAATATGGTATGAGAAGAAAAGAGTGAAGGCAAAGCTGACTCCTAGGAATCTTCAGAGCTATGGCAGGTTGAGTTAGCTGGAGGGGTCAGAGGCTTGATGACAAAAGCAGACTAGGTTCTAAAAAGGTTGGTAAGAAGTCTGGATGATACTTCCAAAGAAATCCAGTCCTTGCATTGGAAAGAGCAACAACTTAAGGTAAATGGGGATATGGGAGGGAGGGAAGATTCAGCCTATATGAAAAAAGTCAGGATTCTACAAAGTCCCTTGTTGGAAAAGAAATCCTTGGGATGATAAAAAATAAGACTCTGGCTTTTCTGGGAAGAGAGAGCTGGACTGGATTGATCTCACTTCCAAGGATAAATAAATCCATTAACAACAAATGTATGCATGTATGTATCTGTGTCCTTTATGTGAACATATTGTCTTTATGTTTCCTTTATCAAATTTTGTGCCAAGGTTTGATTATCTTACAACTAAAATTTGTGTTTTCTTGCTGACATGCTTCCAACATCTCTTCATTTAGAAATTCCTTTTTATACTGCTGTCCACTTACTTGTCTAAACCAATGGTTATCAAATGGCCTGTGATGAGGACCAGTTTTTTTAATGTTTATTTATTTTTGAGAGAGAGAGAGAGCAAGTGGAGGAGGGACCACGAGGATGGGGAACAGAGGATCTGAAGTGGGCTCCGCGCTGACAGCTTCAGCACTGACAGCAACGAGTCCAGGGCTCAAAATCACAAAATGCCAGATCACAACCTTAGCCCAAGTTGGAAACTCAGTCGATTGAGCCAGGTGCCCCAGGTGCCCCAAGGACCAGGTTTTAAAATCTCAACCTGTCATAGACTGATGTGTTTGTGGAACAGAGTATAAATTAATTACCTGAAAAAGTGGAATTTAAGAAAATTACGAAGTACAAGACTGGTTGTTTAATTATTAGATTCAACTGACATAAAATTACTGTCAGATTGCTATGAAAATTTCTAAGAGCTTAACTCTTAATTTCTGTACTATTTTGTCCCAGACTGGTAACCAAACACTCTGAATAGCAGTGGCATAAACCACTCCACATCTCAAAAGTCCCATTATCTATTAAGCCAAATGTAAACTTCTCACCACTGTCCTCTAAACCCTTACCAGTTAGCTCAGACTTACCTGCCTGTAACAGGCAAGCCCTTACCTTCCCTCCCACATAAGCTACTGTTTTTATTCCTTTCTTGCCTTTGTTTACTCAATACATCCAGAATATATCTCACAGATGTTATATCATAACTGAAATGTTTTTTGTCCTTAGAAAGTTCTCCCAGAACAAACTTACCTAATTTTTATCCCATCAGCATTTGTATTTTCTTACATTTGGTCGAACATATTAATATTATTTGTATTGTTTTCTTTGTTACAGCATAAAGTGGTTCAGAGTAAAGTCAGATTTTTACCACAAATTAAAAGATATCTAGAATACAGCCACATGGGTATAAAACAATAAAAAGTATTTAAGTGATTACCTGCCTACGAGTATATGTACATGGGAAGATAAATTACTGGTGTCTGTGTAAATACTGTCTTTTACTTGGGGAATTTATATTCATCCATTTTCTCCCTATCCCTGCTTTATTTTCTTACTAGGCCTATCTCCATTAACTCTGGACCCTAAAACAGCTCACCCAAATCTGATGCTCTCCAAAAATCAAACCAGTGTGTGGCATGGTGACATTAAGCAGGTAATGCCTGATGATCCAGAGAGGTTTGACTCAAGTGTGGCTGTGCTGGGCTCAAAAGGCTTCACATCTGGGAAGTGGTACTGGGAAGTGGATGTGTCAAAGAAGACAAAGTGGACAGTTGGAGTCGTCAGAGAATCCATCATTCGGAAGGGCAGCTGTCCTCTAACTCCTGAGCAAGGATTCTGGCTTTTAAGACTAAGGAACCAAACTGATCTAAAGGCTCTAGATTTGCCTTCATGCAGTCTGAAACTGACTAACAACCTCAACAAGGTGGGAATATACCTGGATTATGAAGGAGGACAGGTGTCCTTCTACAATGCTAAAACCATGACCCACATTTACACCTTCAGTAGCACTTTCATGGAGAAACTTTATCCCTACTTCTGTCCTTGCCTTAATGATGGTGGAGAGAATAAAGAACCATTGCATATCTTACATCCACAGTAATTACTCATACTATTGTGTAAATTCAGAGCGTTATTAAAGAGGTATTGAAATAGTTTACCAGTCTCACTGGTTTCTCTTCCCAATTTATGAGGAACTCTGGAATAATGAAGGAAAGATTCACAAACTAAATTCCATTCTCAGTGTCTTAAGTGGATTTCACTGAAGCTTTTCAAGATGTCATTCTAATTCTCTGGGGTCTTCTATGACAGGAGCCACTCTTCACGAGAATGATCATCACACTATTGTTACTGGAGCAAATCGCAACTTGAGTTTTGATGCTTGGAAACCCTTTTCAAACATGCCCAGAAATTCTATTATGCTGTCATTATTCTCAGCACAAGACTCTTAGTAGATAAATTTTCAGATGTGTACTCTTCTTCCTATTTAATTATCTTTTAATATACAATTTGCAATACAGTTCTTTTCTAGAACTTGTTACCATAGTTTTTAAAAAACTGCTCCAGAAATTTATAGAAAAAATAGGAAACGGTCTGGGCTAGTTTATAATCTTGTCTCGAATTCTCTCAAGATAGTTTTTGGTCCAATGAGCCTGACTCTCTTGGTCTCTTTTTCTTGCTTTAATCTACCTTCGGGAGTACTTGTTCCATACTCAAATACATTTAAGTATTTCAGAGTACTTTTGACTATGTCCTTTTCATCATTCCTGCCTATAATTTATTTATTTATTATGATTTTTTAATGTTTATTTACTTATTTTGAGAGAGAGCGAGCAAGTGGGAGAAGGAGCAGAGAGGAGAGAGAAAAAAAAAGAGGTTCATCTAAGGATGAATCCTAATCAGGCTCTGCATTAACAGCATGGATCCTGATGCGGGGTCTGATCCCACAAACCATGAGATCATGACCAGAGCCAAAATCAAGAGTTGGACGCTCAAATGACTGAACCCGCCAGACTCCCCTCATCATTCCTGCCTATAATTTAAATATTAATACTTTTTATATTATTCTCTCTAGTATATTCATCCTCCAGTGTGTTCCTTCTAAGTCTAAAGCTCTTAGCATCACTCATCTCAGCAGTACTCTTGATGAACCATCCCTTCTTTTCCTTTGAAGTCCCATCTAACTGGGCTTCATCCTCTATATCTAAAAGGCTTTTTTGGAGGGGGAGGGAGGTTATTTAGGACCTGCAGTACTGGCCCTTTAAAATTACAATTAGCACAGCTCTTTGGCAGGGTAAAAGCCCCCTGTCTTATCAATCACATTGGGAAGGACACACACATGCCATAGGTAATATTCCTGCAGTGTTGGCAATACATATACAATATAATCATATTATAGCTGCTGAATTGGGTAAACAGTCATGACATTATGATGGTTATTTTTAAGAAATTACTTAAAACAAATAAGTCCCTTTCAATCAGAATGTAATAAGGACTTGTTTTGTGCCTGAAACCTCACTAGATTTTTTGAAGCATGAACCCCAATGTTTATAGCAGTGCTATCAACAATAGCCAAATTATGGAAAGAGCCCAAATGTCCCTTAACTGATGAATGGATAAAGCAGATGTGATAAATACACACACACACACACACAATGGAATAGTACTCAGCGATGAAAAAGAATGAAATCTTGCCATTTGCAACAACATGGATGGGACCAGAGGGTATTATGCTAAGCAAAATAGTCAGAGAAAGACAGATATCATATTATTTCACTCATATGCGGAATTTGAGAAATCAACAGATGAATATAGGGGAAGGGAAGGAAAAATAAGATAAAAACAGGGAGGCAAACCGTAAGAGACTCTCAAATACAGAGAACAAACTGAGGGTTGATAGAGGGGAGGTGGATGGAGGGATGGGTTGAATGTGTGATGGGCATTAAGGAGGGCACTTTTGGGGATGAGCACTGGGTGTCATATGTAAGAGATACATCGCTGGGTTCTATCCCTGAAGCTAAGACTATACTGTATGTTAACTAACTTGAATTTAAATTAAAAAAAAAAAAAAAGTTCATTTAAGGAGACTTAAATTCAGAAGCTTGGACCCCACCCAAGACCAACTAAATCAAAATCTCTAGCAGGTGGAGTCTGGGCATTTATAGGTCTAAAAGATCTCAGATAAAGAGCAGCTGGCTGGCTCAGTTGATGGAGTGTATGACTCTTGATTTCAGGGTTGTAAGTTCAAGACCCACATTGGCTGTAGAGATTACTTAAAGATAAAATCTCTTAAAAATGTAAATAAAGGGGCGCCTGGATGGCTCAGTCGGTTGGGCGTCTGACTTTGGGTCAGGTCATGATCTCGCGGTCGGTGAGTTCGGGCCCCGCATCGGGCTCTGGGCTGACAGCTCAAAGCCTGGAGCCCGTTTCGGATTCTGTGTCTCCCTCTCTCTCTGACCCTCCCCTGCTCATGCTCTGTCTCTGTCTGTCTCAAAAATAAATAAATGTTAAAAAAAAAAGTTAAAAAAAGTAAATAAAAATAAAAGCTCTCAGGTGATTTTAATGTCAGCTAGGACAGAGAACTATTGAACTAACGAAACTTTTTTTCATCTTTATTTAGAAAAATTCATGGCGAGTGGTGGGGGGCGCCTGGGTGGCTCAGTCGGTTGAGCGTCCAACTTTGGCTCAGGTCATGATCTCGTGGTCTGTGGGTTCCAGCCCCGCGTCAGGCTCTGTGCTGACAGCTCAGAGCCTGGAGGCCTGCTTTGGATTAAGTGTCTCCCTCTCCTCTCTCTCTGCCCCTCCCCCGCTCATGCTCTGTCTCTCTCTCTCTCTCTCTCTCTCTGTCAAAAATAAATAAACATTAAAAAAAATTTTTAAAAGAAAAATTCATGGGGGGCACCTGGGTGGTTCAGTTGGTTGAATGTCTGACTTCCGCTCAGATCATGATCTCACAGTTTGTGAGTTCGAGCCCCACATTAGGCTCCTGCTGTCAGTATGGAGTCCACTTTGGATCCTCTGTCCCCCTCTCTTTCTGCCCCTCCCCCACTTGCGCGCGCACACACTCTCTCTCTCTCTCTCTCTCTCTCTCTCAAAAATAAACATTAAAAAAATTTTTAAAAAAAGAAAAATTCAAACTTATAGAAAAACTGCACATTTGTATGATAAACTCTCCTATATTCTCCACCCAGATTTATCAATTATTAGTATTTTGCCACATTTTCTTATTCACTCTCCCTCACATCCATCCCATATGATTTTGGGTGTATAGTGTATAGTATGGCTAATGTTATTATTGCTGAGCAACTTCAGATTAAGTTACAGGCATTAGGACTCTTATTCCTAAATACTTCAGCAAGTATCTCATACAAACCAAGACACTCTCTTTTTTTTTTTTTTTTTTTAAAGTAAGCTCTTTGCCCAATGTGGGGCTTGAACTCACAATCCCGAGACCAAGAGTCACATACTCTAACTAAGACAGCCAGGTGCCCCGAAGGTACTCTTTTACATAAACACAGTACTAAATTATCATATTCAGAAAATTTAACATTGACCTGGTACTACTTACTAGCTAATATATAGTCCATATTCAAGAAGTAAATATTTCCTTTTTTAAAAAGTAATTCTTTTTTTAGATGTTTTTATTTATTTGTTTATTTATTTATTTATTTAATTAGAGAGGAAGGGAGGGAGGGAGAATCCCAAACAGGCTCCATGCTGTCGGAACAGAGCCTGACTTAGGGTTCCAACTAACAAACCATGAGATCATGACCTGAGCTGAAATCAAGAGTCTGATGCTTAACTGACTGGGCTACCCAGGTGCCCAAGAAGTAAAGTTTTGATTTTAGACACAGTGGTAGAGAATTTCAATTAGTATGACAAAGAGTTTGAGGGATAAAATGGGGCCTAGCTCCTATCCATTAAGTCATATATAGAGTTCTAGATCATTGGTATCTGAAGTCTGTCCTTGGGGATAGACAAGTACTATAGAATTCGGAGAAAGGGAAGGTCAATATTTACCAAAATAGAAGGAGAAAATTCTAAAGACAAGTTACACTTACGTTGGAGATAATAAAAGATGACTAGGAATGAATTAAAATTCTAATCTGAATTTGGAAAATATATTTCTTAAAAATGTTTTTTTTGTGGTGATGGTGGCATAGTTATATAAATATACTAGAAATTAGTGAACAGTACACTAATAATGGGCAGATTTTATGGAATGTATATTATACCACAATAAAATAAAGCTGTTTATTAAAAAAGAGAAAGAAAAAAATGAGTATTTTTTTTCAAAGGATAGACCACAGGTGTATACATATTTTCCACTATCTGTAAGTATTCACTTTAATACTTTTTCTAACATACTACCTCACCTCTCCAGCATTTATCTTAACATAGATGACACAAATTTATTTTCCCAGTTTCCCCAGATAATTGGTTATTCTGTACTGAATAATTTGAACAATCCTTCTATGTAGAACTCAGATTATAATTAAAACCTTCTATGCGTATGAATCATAAAACACCAATATGAGACTTCCCTGCTAGAAAGAGATTCTGAATGTTATTCACTGAGAAGTGTGATTAGGGCTATATTATTTTATCCCAGGCTACAAATGAGACTGCTAGTAACAAAATATGAAGTACAAGGTAAAGTAGAAGGTAAAGTCAGTATGTTAGGATTCACTGAGGTGAGAACCTTAAAAGGAGAACACCTTGCACTTTTCTGTGACTAACTGACTTTTAAAATAGCAGTGTTGATATCATTGCACAGTTGTATAATGTAGCTATGCTACAGGAGAAGAAAAAGTTAGTAATACTGGATTACCAAGTATTTCCAAGGAAAAGATGCTCTGAACAAACTTATTTTTCAGATGAGTAAATGTGATTTACTTAATGCCAAGTATCTGTTTAACTACTTTAGATAAATCCTCCTGGGGCGCCTGGGTGGCTCAGTTGGTTAAGCGGCCGACTTCGGCTCGGGTCATGATCTCGCGGTCCGTGAATTCGAGCCCTGCGTCGGGCTCTGTGCTGACAGCTCAGAGCCTGGAGCCTGTTTCCGATTCTGTGTCTCCCTCTCTCTGACCCTCTCCCGTTCATGTTCTGTCTCTCTCTGTCTCAAAAATGAATAAACGTTAAAAAAAAAATCCTCCTAAGTTGACTTACTTTCTTGATTATTTTTAAAAATTAAATTATAAAATACACACAAGAGAGTGTATATAACATATGCGTAATTTAGAGAATAATAAAAAAAAAAAAAACCTCCCACTAATTGACCATCTAGTTTTGGAAATAGAATACCATCAAAACCTTTTAAGGCCCCCTGTGTGCCTCTCTTGGCTCTGGGGTAATCATTATCCTACATTTTGTATCTGGTTTTTTACTTTTTGAAAATAATTCATAGCTATATTTTCAACAAATGTACTATTTTAGTTCTTTCTATATACTACATATATATGTATCCCTAAAAAGGAAGTTTCATTATGCCTGTTTTTTGTACTTTAAATGAATGGAATCATGTTGTATGTATTCCTTATGTTTTTCAAAATTCAAAATTATGTTGTATTCCATTTTATGAAACTACAACAGTTTAAATACCCTAGCTACTGTTGATAAATAAGTGGTTGTTTCTAGTTTTGTTTTTGGTTGTTGCTGTTACTTTAGTAACAATGTCGCCATAAACATTGTACAAAGTATAAGGGTAAACAGCAACAAGAGTTTCTCAAGGTATATATCTAATAAATGCTAACATAGGGTATGCACATCTTCAAGTAAGGAGTGCTGAATTGTTGGTCAAAGTGACTGCCAATTTACATTCCCACTCCAAGTGGGAGTTCCCATTACTATATGTCTTTGCTAACTCAATTTTTATCAGTAAAGTGGGTACATAATGGTATCTTGTAGTTTTAGTTTGCATTTCCCTAATTATCCCCATGGTTGAGAATATTTTTCTAAGTTTACTGGCCACTTAATTTTCTTCTATGAAATGTCTATTCAGGTGTTTGCCCATATTTTCCATTGTGCTGTTTCTCTCTTATTGATTCATAGGGTTACGTTTGTGTTCTAGATACCCATCCTTTGTTGGTTATTCACACTGCAAATATCTTCTTTTTATTTGTTGTAATTTTTTTAAATGTTTATTTGAGAGAGAGAGAGAGAGCACGAGTGGAGGAGGGGCAGAGAGAGAGGGAGACACAGAATCCGAAGCAGGCTCCAGGCTCTGAGCTGTCAGCACAGAGCGTGACCGGGGCCCGAACTCACAAACCACGAGATCGTGACCTAAGCTGAAGCCAGATGCTTAACCGACTAGGCCACCCAGCCACCCCAATTATACTGCAAATATCTTCTAATGGTTAATACTTGTGTCTGTTAAAAAATTATTCTCGGGGCGCCTGGGTGTCGCAGTCGGTTAAGCGTCCGACTTCAGCCAGGTCGCGATCTCGCGGTCCGTGAGCTCGAGCCCCGCGTCGGGCTCTGGGCTGATGGCTCAGAGCCTGGAGCCTGTTTCCGATTCTGTGACTCCCTCTCTCTCTGCCCCTCCCCCGTTCATGCTCTGTCTCTCTCTGTCCCAAAAATAAACGTTGAAAAAAAAAATTAAAAAAAAAATTATTCTCAAAAAAAAAAAAAATTATTCTCTACTCAGAGGACCAAGAGATATTCTCCCCTGTTTTATTCATATGTTTTAAAAAGTTTTGCCTTTCCTATTTAAGTGCTTAATAGTTCAGTCAACTAGAAAGTACCAAGTAAACATTACCATGCGCCTAACAACATGATTTCAACATATATAAAGAAAAAATTAACAAGAAATCCATAAATCCACAAAGGAGATTTTAATATGCTCCATTTAGTAATTGGCAGAAAAACGTGACAATATGATGAATAAACTTGACCCAATGAACATATGCAGAATGCTGTACCCAACACTCAGAATATTCTTTGCAAACACAAACATAACACTGACCATACACTTCAATCATAAGGGAAATTTCAACAAATTTCAAGGATTATAAGCATATAGGCTATATTCTTTTATCTTAATGCATTTAAACCAGGAATCATTAACAATAGCTAACTAAATAAATAATCACGTGTTTGGAAACTTTAAAGTATTTTAAATAACCCATGGATCAGATAACATATTAGAAGGCTGAAAATATGTTGAATTGAACAATAAAAAATGACAACTTGAAAACTGTGGCACGGCACACAGTTTCAAGGAAATTTATAGCCTTATCTGCACATATTAGGAAATAAAAGAATGAAAATCACTCCTCTTTCAAGAAATTAATAGAACAGCAATTCAAAACCAAAGAAATTATAAAACCAGAAATTAATGGCATAGAGAAGAAACACATAAAAGAGTATCAACAAAGAGCCACAAGTTTGTTCTTTGAAAAGGCTAATAAAATTGACAAACTTCTGGTGAGACTAAGAAATAAAAAGGCACAAATAGCTAATAACAGAAATGAATAAGGAGCCATTGTTACAGAACCTGCAGGCATTAAAAAAGATAGTAAAATGTTTTATAGGCTTTATATCAGTATTTTTGAGAGTTTCGATTTAATGGACCCAACACCAGGAAAATAGACTTTATCAAAAGTGATGCAAGGAAGCGAAGTGTGGTGGTGGTGGAAACTGTAAAAGAAAAACATAATTTTGAAAAAACCGGAAATTTCGGCACCGGTGAAATTTGACAACATTAAAGAATTAGTATTTTTAAGTGTGATAATGGTATTGTGGTTTTGCTTTTTTGAAACTCCTTATCTTTAGATATTGTAACTGAAACACTTATAAATGAAATGATACAATGAGTTTTGCTGCAAAATAATGCTTGATGCCACAGAACCTGTGCCCATGCCTGTAACAATAGCACAGTAACTTGAATACTGAGGGTTTAAAACTCACCAACGTGACTAGGCGCTCTCCGCAATGTCAGGGGAAAGCTGAACGGTCTCTCCAACAGCCGCACACCAGTCAGCTCTCCAGCAGTGCCAGCCGGACGCCTCACCTTCCTGCCGCAGGCTTTTCCCGCCCATTACTCTGAGAACCAATCATTGAGCGTGGCTTTGTACCTCGGACCAATCAGCGATTCCCGGTAGGCCCCGCCCCCACATCCCCGAAAGCAGCCGGACGCCATGTTTCAGGGGCAGCGGGGTTGGTTTTGCCGCAGCGTCGGCGGAGAACTGAGGCAGTTCTGGGGTAGGCAGCTGGGCGGAAGGGGTGGGTGAGGTGGTGAACTGAGCATCCCTTCTCGCTCTGGTGCTTTGGTCCCAGGGTAGTTGCTAGGCTCACCTTGTGCTCTTACCTCCACAGTGGCCGAAGGGGGCTCCATCAGCGACCCGAGGGCCGCCGACTTCCTGTTCAGCTGTGATGCCTCCCACCCAGACACGCTGAGGTACCTGAAGGCCACCTGGCAGTGCCTGTTGGGTCACGATGAGTCAGCAGCTGGCGTTGGAAGTTGCAGGCCCCTAATAAATATCGATCACAGGAATAGACTGGAAATGAGCAAGTTTTCAGCCCTAGACGGGAAGCGGGGAGGGATATAAATGACCTTTCTCTTCTTTCCGACACAGCGACATGGCCTCCTACTTGGTTCACGAGTCCGCCCAAGTTCCAGGGTTACGTTTCCAGCTGTCTCTCCCACAAGTTTACGTGGTGCCTTGAAGGCCCATCACATTCAATATGTTTAAACCAAATCTCCTGATTGTCCCCTCACACCTGCACCAAGTCCTGTGCTCTCAAACTGAAAACCATAGGAGTTTCTTGGAAATAACTCCACCCCATTAATCGGTCAGTGGCCAAACACGTACCCTGTGGTCACGTACCCTGTAAAAGTTCTTCGTACTCACTGCAACCACCTTCGCACACGCCCTCATTACCTCTGGCATGGAATGTAACAGTAGCTTTCAGACCGGTTGCTCTGCCTCCAATCTGCCCACCTACGACCCCCCTTCACATTGCTGTTCCATTATGTTTACAAAGCAGAAGTCTGGTCACCACCCTGGCTGCCCCCCACCCCACTCTCTTATTCCCCAGTGTCCTAATTGCCCACACCTAATTATCCCTACTTTCACTCATTTATTCTTTCTTTTGAAAGGTTGAATACATTCTTCTTTTTTTTTTTTAATTTTTTTAACGTTTTTTATTTATTTTTGAGACAGAGAGAGACAGAGCATGAACGGGGGAAGGGCAGAGAGGGAGGGAGACACAGAATCGGAAGCAGGCTCCAGGCTCCGAGCCATCAGCCCAGAGCCCGACGTGGGGCTCGAACTCACGGACCGTGAGATCGTGACCCGAGCTGAAGTCGGCTGCTTAACCGACTGAGCCACCCAGGCGCCCCAATTCTTCTTTATTTTATAACCTAAAATATCTCCCTTTCTTTCTCCTAGGATATATCAGAGCCTTGATTACATAGAAGATAATGCTACAGTTTTTCATGCCTACTATCTCTCTGCAGTAGCTAATGCTGAAGTAAAAAATTCGGTGGCTTTAGGTCACTTCATTCTTCCTCCTGCATGCCTGCAAAAAGGTTAGCAAAGATCAGTCATCCAATCTCTGTTAGCCAAATCCAGCCAGGTCACCCAACTTTACTGAGCTTTGTTCTCAGAGATTTTTGTGTTTTGTATCATTTAATATAAGTGGAAAGGGACTTGGGATCACATTTCCTTGGGTGTATATTCTAGCTTTGTTTATTGTTCATTCACACATTCACTAAACTCCTACTGTGTGTCCAGTTTCAACCCAGATACTGGGGATTCAGTGCAGAATATGACAAAAAGCAGATCTTGCCCTCACAGTGCCTAATGGCTAGGATCCATTACTTACTAGTTTTGTGAACTTCAGCAAGTTCCAACTCACGAACCACGAGATCATGACCTGCACCAAAGCCAAGAATCGGATGCTTATGACCTGCACCAAAGCCAAGAATCGGATGCTTAAGCGACTGAGCCACCTCGGTGCCCCTGTTCTTTACACTTTTTTTTTTTTTTAATTTCTTTTTCAACGTTTTTTATTTATTTTTGGGACAGAGAGAGACAGAGCATGAACGGGGGAGGGGCAGAGAGAGAGGGAGACACAGAATCGGAAACAGGCTCCAGGCTCTGAGCCATCAGCCCAGAGCCTGACGCGGGGCTCGAACTCACGGACTGCGAGATCGTGACCTGGCTGAAGTCGGACGCTTAACCGACTGCGCCGCCCAGGCGCCCCATGTTCTTTACACTTTTAAAAGTACAGGAGCGCCTGGGTGGCTCAGTCGGTTAAGCGTCCAACTTTGGCTCAGGTCACGATCTCGCGGTCCGTGAGTTCCAGCCCCACGTCGGGCTCTGTGCTGACAGCTCAGAGTCCAGAGCCTGTTTCAGATTCTGTGTCTCCCTCTCTCTCTCTGACCCTCCCACGTTCATGCTCTGTCTTTCTCTGTCTCAAAAATAAATAAACATTTAAAAAAAAAATAAAAAAAAATAAAAGTACTTTCATGTTAATTATTTCAGCAATCCTATAAAGGGCAAGTTAATAAACTGCTTCTGAGATTGGTTCTTTTAGTACTCCCTGCTTGGAACATCATTTCCCTATCTTTTGTGGGGTAACCTTAAATATTCCATTTTAGGTCTTGCATTATTACCCAATTCTTGATATATGTGTGTCTGTCCTTAGAAAGACAGACTGAAGCTAGAACAAAGTCCCAGTAAGCAGTCTATTTAAAACAAAGCACAAAACGAAACAAAGCAACTTGAAAAAGATTTCTATAGAAGAGCTTTAGAAACCCCAAAGATTGGATTCCTTTCACAGTTGATGTCCTTGTGAGAGCTGGTTATAACAATAAATTGTTCCAAAATAATTTATTTATACAAATAAATTAATGACTGGATAGGCGAACTAATTTACTCAAAAACTGTGCAAATCAGTGAATATCCACCTTCACGGGGCTTATATTATAGAATGACTATCTGACCTGATTTTAAATTATTACTCCTGTCTTTGAGTTTAGCATCTTACATTAAAATGTATTTAAATGAAAGAAATCTGTTTTCAGTGAAAACATGCTCCTTTTTAAGATTGAAAAGTATACATTATTATCTACCTAGCCCAGTATTGTCTAGTAGAAGTGTGAGATGCAAATGTGAGCCACATATTGATTTTAAATTCTCTAGTATAAATAAGAAGTCAGTGAATAAAAATAGATGAAATTAATAGGTGAAATTAATTTTAATATATTTATTTAACCTAATGTATCTAAAATATTATTTCAATATATAACAAATAAAAAATCATTGGGATATTTACATTCTTTTTTTGATGCTAAATCTTTGAAATCCAGACTTTATTTTACACTTTTAGTACATCTCAATCTGGACTAGCCATACATTTCAATATGGTAGCGATATATAGCTAGTACAGTGGCAACTATATTGGACGACATAGGTCTAGAGGGATGTTACCTTTTTGTCTGCAAGTGGGCTACTATGGAAACTTTTGAGATCATTAAGAATGTGACCTAGGGGCACTTGAGTGGTTCAGTCGGTTAAGCATCCAACTCTTGGCTTTGACTCATGTCATGATCTCATGGTTTGTGGGTTTGAGCCCCGTGTTGGGCTCTGCGTTGACAGTGCAGAGCCTGCTTGAGCTTCTCTCTCTCTTCCTCTCTCTCTGCCCCTCCCCCCTCAAAATAAATAAACTTTTAAAACACACACACACACACACACACACACACTACTATGCCCACTAGACATGTTTCTCTTCCACTCTTCCACTCCTCTTTTACCAAATTATTGAATTCTTGAGGACCTCTACTCTACAAATTTAGGAATTTTATACCTTTTATTTTGACTGTAGATTGTCTTCTTTATTAATGGTTGGCCTAAAGATACAAACATCTAATGAAGACCTATACTCCAGCAGAAAAAGTTTACAATAATGATTCTTATAATGCTTTGGAACCATCTGGGGAGTTTGTTAGAAATGCAAATTCCTGAGCTCCCCCTCATTCATCTGATTCAATAGGAATCTGCATTTTAAACAACTATCTTAGGTGAGTTTGATACAAGTGGAATAATGCTGGCTTAGAAATTTCAGACTTCAGGTAAATTTCAGAAAATTCTACAAAGTTACTTTAAAAAATAGTATTGGATTTTTTTTTCTTACCACAGAAATAAGAAGAAAACTTGGTAATTTTATTTGGGAACAAGATCAACATTTTCAGATAGAAAAGGTAAGAGTAAATAAAGGTATTTGGTTAGAATCTACAGTTTCAAAAATTTTTGAAAGCAATGTAATCTTAAAAATGTTTACTTGTGACATATTAATGTCAATGATCCAGATTATAGAATTTAAAGGACATGCTTTTATTGAATATAATCTAGTCTGACATTGTTTTTACACTGGCACATTGATGAAATTGAGATATTTTTATTGTATTATTCACGTAAAAAATTTGAAAATTTGCTTCTATCACTAATGTTAAGGGAGTAATAGGTGCACAGTATTTACCCAGTTTTTTATGGCCAGAATATATAATTCTTCCTTTTAATTTTTTTTAAGATTTTATTTTATTTTATTAAGTAATCTCTACACCCAACACACGGCTTGAACTCACAACCCCAAGATCAAGAGTGGTACACTCCACTGACTGAACCATCTAGGCACCCTTACTGCCAGCATAGATTCTGATTTACTAATCCCTCTGTTGTGTCATTTCTTAAATATCTTCAATAACACCTGTCAATAAATGTGTACAAAACTGAAAATTGATTGTTTTATAGCTTTTGCTATTCTGCTTCAAATTTGCCTATGCTTTTGACTTACTTCAAAATTTTTATGCAATAGCCAAATTTGGGGTAATTTGAGCATCAAAAAGAATGACAGGAATGAATTAAATTTAAAAGAATCCATGATTCAGTAGTGATGCTCCAAAGGAATAAAGAAAGGAAAATAAGAACAGAAGGAAGAGAGGAAATGAGGTGGGAAGAGAAATAAAGGAAGGAAGGAAGGAGTGATGGAAGGAAGGAAAGAAAACATGGAATAAGACAAACTTCTTTATGAAATGGCAACTAATAAATACACGGACGCCTAGGCGACTCAGTTGGTGGAGTGTCTGACTATTGGTTTTGGTTCAGATCATGATCTCATGGTTCATGGCTTTGAGCCTAATGTCTGGCTCCTCGCTGGCAGCACAGAGCCTGTTTGGGATTCTCTCTCTCCCTCTCTCTTTGCCCTTCCCTTGCTTGTACTGTCTCTGTCTCTCTCAAAAAAAAAAAACCCCAAAAAACAAAAAACAAATAAAACTTTAAAAAATTTAAATATAGAAACATTGGTAGAATATAAAATCCCCATTTTACCACCCCCAGTAAAATAATTGATTTAGGCAGGGTCATTAATGGATGTTAAAACCATGATCTCAAATTATCACCCCACAGATTACTTAGTAGTTACAAAAGTAAGCGATATGCCTTCACAATGGAGAGATCTGGCAGATACCACCTTAAACAACTGGTCAAATTTAGCATCACCAATATTGGAATAACCTCTCATTATGTTCAGCTTGAGGTGATATAATAAAAGTATACAATATTTTCTATAAAGTGTTCTTATTCAAAATGTTTAACCTAATTAACCTTAATCCAATTATGAGTAAACACTCAGAGAATTCCAGAATGTGAGACATATCACAAAATAACTAACTGGCTTAGACTCTTTAAAACAATGCCATAAAAAATAAAAAAGCAGGAACACTGTTCTAGATCAAGAGATATACAGCCAAGTGTGATGTATAAACCTTGATTGGATTCTGGATATTTTAAAAAATAAATATTTATTTATTTTGAGAGAGAGTGAACACGAGCAGGGGAGGAGCAGAGAGAGATGGAGAGAGAGAATCCCAAGCAGGCTTTGCACTATCAGCACAGAGCCTGATGCAGGGCTCGAACTGATGAACCTCAGGATCGTGACCTGAGTTGAAATCAAGAGTTGTAAGCTTAACCAACTGAGCCACCCAAGCACCCCGATTCTGGATATTTTTTAAATAAAAAGTAAAAAAGACATTTTGAGAACAATCAGAAAAATTTAAAGATGGACTAGTAGGTAATATTTAATTAATGTTAATTGTCTTAATTGTGATGGTGGCATCATAAAAATAAAAGAATGCTTTTTAAAGCCAAGGCAAGCTAGGAGCACCTAGTGGTTCAGTTGTCAGACTTTGGGTCAGTTGTCAGACTTTGGCTCAGGTCATGATCTCACAGTTCATAAGTTCAAGCCATGCATTGGGCTTACTTCTGTCAGCACAGAGCCCACTTCGGATTCTGTCCCCTTCTCTCTGTCCCTCCCACGCTTTCACTCTCTCTCTCTCTCTCTCAAAAATAAATAAACATTAAAAAAACCCAACAACACAAGTTAAAGATTAAGGAGTGAAATGTCATATTATCTGCAAGTATTTTCAAATGGACCAGCAGAGTGATAAAAATGTTAATGCTTTGCGAATCTAGGTGAAAGGTATATACTACTTACTGTATTATTTAACTTTTCAGTGTTTGGAATTTTTCAGAAATCTTTATATTTCTGGAGCCAAGCAATTAACTTATATGTTTTGTATTCCTTTTATTAAATTGTTTTTTCCCCCAAGTTGTCATCATCTGAAAATAACCATTATTTTAGTGTCTTTGGCTATGTTGTACTAAGGATCAAAATATCCAATCCATGGCTTGTCATATTGTTTTCAGGGACGCGAGTGGTGATAGAATGGTTGTTATTTGACAGTTATTATTGAGTAAGCCAGAACTTTAGAGCTAAAAGCTCCTTAAAGCTCATTAATTTAATCATTCAGTTTTAGAAATGAGACCTGAGGTAAAGAGAAGGTAAAAACCTGTTTTAGGTCACATACTAGATATTAGCAAAATGGAACCAAATTTTCTCTGCTCCAACCCAATCCAATATTTTTCTATGAAAAAATTAGTAGAACATGCCTGTATTGATGACTGGCTCTAGAAATTATATGATTTTATGATAAGTGACTTGTTCTTTCAAGATATTGATTGATATTGAATATTAGGCAATTATAATAATGTAACCATAGAATATATAAGTAGAAGGTACTTCATCGAATGGCAACAACATGCATAAATCTGGTAAGTAATTTGAGGAGTGTTATGTTATTGTTTGGACATTTGTGACATAAACAGATATTTCCCAAAGGCATATTAAGTAAATATATTATGTGATAGGTACCAGTATCTGAGTCACTTTCACATAATCTTTTTGAAAAACTTAATACATGTTTGATTCTTTCATAACTCCATGCTAAATACTCCATTTTAATTTTGAAGGGAAAATACAATTTGTTCAGCTTACTTCATAGTTTTGATCTATAATTTATAGGAAGCCTAGGAATCTTCAAGTCAAGAATTTTAAGTTTAAATTAATAAATTTTTTTCCTTATCTTTTAAATATTTATTTATTTTTGAGAGAGAGAGAGAACATGTGTGGGGGTGGGTGGGCAGAGAGAGAGGAAAACAGAATCCCATGCATGTTCTGCACTAACAGTGCAAAAGCGAGGCTTAAACTCATGAACCATATCATGATCTGAGCTGAAATCAAGAGTCCGACACTTAACCGAATGAGCCACCCAGGCACTAAACTAAAAAGTAATATGGCCACATTAGGGAAAATTTCCAAAGTTGATAGGAGAATAAAATTAGTTCACGTTTTACTATCTACTACAACCACAGCTGATATTTTAACAATTCTGGTCTTCATCACATATCCCTAAAAACAAATAGAATAATTGTGTGTGTGTACAAAATTTTGTAAGTTTTTGACACCAAACTAGATTGAATGTACCTAAGTGTATAAAAATGTTAAGACTCTCGGTATATATTGCTAATTTACTTTTTTGCTTTCTGAAAAAAACATTTGATCGGATCATTGACGTGATTTTTAAAAATGTGATTTCTTTTGCTATCCACAGCATGATGAAGTAACACCAAAGGAAATTGAGGACCTTAAGGAAAGCAGTGAACTAGCAATATATCACAAAAAAGAACTATCCAAAAGGTATTGAATTCATCTACTTCATTGAGATTCAATTCAATGTAGGCATCTTGGAGCACTAACTGTGTTTATCTCATTTAATTTTCACTGTCTTCTTTTCTTTTAAAATTTTTTTTTAACGTTTATTTTTCAAAGACAGAGAGACCGAGCATGGGTCGGGTAGGGGCAGAGAGAGAGGGAGACACAGAATCTGCAGCAGGCTCCAGGCTCAGAGCTGTCAGCACAGAGCCCAATTCAGGGCTTGAATCCACGATCTGGGAGATCATGACCTGAGACAAAATGGAACGCTTAACTGACTGAGCCACCCAAGCGCCTCTAATTTTCACCATCTTCTTACAAGATTGATACTATAATTATTACCATTGCCATTTTACAGAAAAATAAATCTATGGTTAGATAGATTAATTTGCCCAAAGCCATATAAACTTTTATTATTAAGTGGGGAAAAGTTGGATTTGAACTGGGTCAGTCTAATTCCAGAGCCAACCACTATGCTAGACTATTCTTGCAAAAAGAAACAAGAATTTATGTATGAGTAGTGCTGTTATATTACTTTTTAAATATTTTCTAAATAGGGAAATATACTATATATTAGCAGTAATTTTATTAGGATGGGAAGTTCTAAGTGATTTTCCCCCTTCCTTTCTAAATTGTTTGTGATGTAGTCACTTTGGTTCAAGAAATTAAAAATACAATCATGGACTTGCCATTGTGTTAGAGCCAATCTATGAGAGGCCCCCTTTGTTTCAGTCTTATTCGTAATCTAGTCCTAATTCTGTATTTTCCAGTTCCATGGCTTTCAAATACTCACAGAGAGTACTGGCTTTTCAAAGGTCTGGTATTTGATTGCTGAAATAAAAATGATCCAATAGTAGCTGTCTCTCTTCAATATAAAAACAGGTTTATTTTATATAGTTTTTTCAATTTTAAGTTTTTCTTCCATAATTTTTTCTTATACCTTTTGTACCTACTATTTGATTTGTTATAATTTAAAGTTAGTTGTTATCTAATTTACCCAAAGTTTTGTATTTAATTAAGTTTAGTAAAACATTGTTTCATGGTCGACTTCTAGATATTCTACCACTTAAGTCTGAGAATCAATATTTTAAGGCTTGGGATATCTATGTATAGCACTCCTTTGAATCTACTTGTTATGCTTTTTGAGACAAGAAACTGGTAAAGAGAGGCAGAAAAATAAAAATAGAGGAGGTAAGACCATGAAGATATTCTTAAGGGCCTTGTAAGAGAAGGCTGGGAAATCGAAAATAAAAGGTAACTCCCAGTGATTCACTTGACTAGAAAAGATATCAGATGCATAAATTCTTCAAGAAATGGTTGTCCTGCAAAACGCAGAAGCCATAGAGGAAAAGATTAAGTTTGACTACCACAGATATTTTAAACTTGTATGTGGCAATAAAAATACCATACATCAAGTCAAAAGAAAAATATACACTGGGGAAAAACATCTGACAAAAACTAGTTTCTTTAAAAAATACAAAGGAGGCTTACAAATCTGGGGAAAATATGTCCAATCTAAAAACAATAACAATAGACAAAGGATATGAATAGATACCTTAGGTAGGTATCTAACCTAGAGCCTTTTCTTTGTGGAACCACCAGAGGGTGCAGTGTGAACATAGATAAAATACTTTGAACCTACTCAGCATATATTTTGTTGGCATACTACTAGTGATACTGAATACTAAGTGATGAACCTGTTATTAAACACTTGCTAAATACAAGACACCTGTGAGCTAATCAGTTCATTTGATTCTCATAACCTTATAAGATAGATAAATACTATTAGCCTCATTTTACAATTGAGGAAACAGGTTCAGAGAGCTGTCACCCAACATTACTTACATAGTGAAACTGAATTTGAAGCTAAGTCTAGCTGATCCAGAATCCAAACTCTTAATCACTATGCTATTTTCACTTCTCAATATGTTCCCAAAATCTTCTGAAAATTGCATGAATTTAATTATTCTGTTGGAAACTTAATGCGTGTGATTTGTCAAAATAGAAAATAAAATAAAGAAAATTTAAATTATAAACAACCGCACCACTTGGAGATAACCACTAACATTAGTACATTTCTTGCTATTTTATATGAATACATTTTGTTTTAATTTTTATTTTTTCTTTGATTACTAATGGCTTTGAGCCTTTTTGAATTTGTTTATTAGCATTTTATATTTCCTTTTCTGTGGTTAGTTTTTATTCTTTCTCCCTTTTTTTGTGTGTGTGGGGTCTCATTGTTTTTCTTATCAACTTGTCTGACAACTTTATATAATAGCTATATTATCCTTTTGCCAGTTTGTCACATTTTATCCTCAGTTTGTTGTCTGGCTTATACTATTTTAGAGATACAAGTTTAAATTTTTGTACCATTAAACTGATCACTTTTCCTTTATAATTTCTTCTATTGCTTTTATACTTGGAAAAGTTCTTGCCCATTCAAATGTAAAATCAGTTTTAAATTCTGCAGATATTTATTTTGGTTTATGGTAGTAGGAGATCAAAATTGATTTTGTTTTACAAATAAGAAATTTCCATGGGGTTTTTTGAATAATAAATCTATTTCTAATTGATGGGTAATTTCCCTTTGTCATAGGTTGTTTTTACATATATGGAGATCTATTTTTAGACTGTTTTATTCCATTAATCTGTGGATCTATTCCTCTCTCAATATAATATTCTTTTAAATTATATAACTTTATTTATGTATCTTAATACCTGACAAGGCAAGTCCCAAACTGATTATTCTCCTTTTAAAAATCTTTTCCTCAGTTCTTCATGCCTACATATTATTCTATTTTCAAATTTTAATTATCAAAATCTAATATATACAAAAGGGGACACTGTGAAAATACTGGTCCCTAGCAAGCCAATTGCTCTCTCAGAAGCAACCATTATTACTAGTTTCTTATATGTGCATATGCTAGCAAATTAATATAAATATTTTCATTTCTCCTTTTTCTCACAAATAGTGATAGACTATAAGCCCTGTTCAATCCCTTGCCTTCTTTCACTCAATCATTTTACCTTAGAGATCATTCCATATTATTACATAAAGAGCTTTTTCATTTTTGTACTGTATAGTATTCCACGGTATGAATTTGTCATAATTTATTTACCTAGTCCCTTATTTCAGTGGACTGTTAGGTCATTTCTAGTTTGCTATTAAAAGTGGTGCTTCAGTGGATGATCATGTAATGTCATTTTGTATGTATGCAAGTATCTGTAGGGTAATTCTTAGGAGGTGAATTGCTAGGTCAAAAGGTATGCAGATTTGTATCCTTGATAGGTCTTATCAAATTACTTTCCATATAGGTAAAACCAATTTATGCTCCTACTGATTATATTTAAAAGTGCCTTTCTCAGGTTTGTTTACCAACAAACATCCAGGTTTGCTAAGGATTGTCTTGGTTTTAACACTGAAAAGCTCTGTCTCCTGAGCAACCCCTAAATCCAGGGTAAACTGGGATAGTTAGTCACCCTTCTTTCACCTGCACCTTCTCCAATACAGTGTGCTATCATATATTTTGGTCTTTGCCAATCTAATAGGTATAAAATGGTATCTCACTCTAGTTTTGTTTGAATTGCTATTATTATGAATGAGGCTGAGTGTCTTCAGATGTTTGAGAATCACTTGTATCTCCTTTTCTGTGAACTGTTCATATCCTTTGCACATTTTCCTATCGATTGAGTTTTATTTTTATTTTTATTTTTTTATAAGAACCCTTTACCTTTTAGGAGAATTACTTCTTTGTGAAATAAATTACAATTAATAATTCCTAGCCTATTGTCTTTTGACTTTATTTTTTATGTATTTATTTATTTGAGAGAGACAGAGACAGTGCAAGTTGGGGAGGGGCAGAGAGAGAGGGAGAGCGAGAATCCTAAGCAGGCTCCACACAGTGCAGAGCCCAACTTGGGGCTAGAACCCACAAAGCTGTGAGGTCAACACACAAAGCTGTGAGATCATGACCTGAGCTAAAACCAAGAGCTGGACACTTAAACGACTGAGCCACTCAGGCGTCCCCGTCTTTGACTTTAAAAATGTTAAGTTTTGAGGGTGCCTGGGTGGCTCAATTGGTTAAGCGTCCAGCTTCGGCTCAGGACATGGTCTCATGGTTTGTGGGTTCAAGCCCTGCACTGGGATCTCTGCTGTCAGCACAGAGCCCACTTCCTATCTTCTGTCTTCCTCTCTCTCTCTCTGCCTCTCCCCTGCTCCCTCTCTCTCTCTCAAATATAAACATTAAAAAAAAGTTAGGTTTTGTCATGCAGAAATGTTTTACTGTATACATTCATACTTATTAACATTTTCTTTAATGGCTTTCTGGGTTTTGTGTTGTACTTAGGAAAGTCTTCCTACTCTTTTTTTTTTTTTTTTTT